CCTGCTGCCGGCAGATGGAATTCCATCCCGCCGGGGCACCGGCCAGGGCTAGGGGCTGTTTGCGGGCTGCAGCGGTGCCGTGCCACGGAGTGACAGGCGGCGAAGGGGGGGGGTTTGTTCCCGATCATCGCGACCACGCTGCGAGGGGAGAGAGGCCCCCCAAAGCCTCCTGAAAGAGATGGAAGGAATAAACAATACATAAATAATTTTTTAAAACCCTCAACAAACGGAACAAACAAACAAACCACGATTAAAAAAAAACCCAAACAAACATGTTTTGCAGCCAGGGGAGCCTGGCTGTGCTGTGCTGGAGTGGCAATTCCCTGTGTGTGTGTCCTGCACCCCTTTCCCTGCCCAGCGTTGTTGCGGGGTGCAGCGGCAGCGGGGTGCGCTCCGCCGGGGCCGCTGCCTGTGCCCGCTGCAGGTGAAACGCTTCCTCCTATGGAAGCCAAAGTTTGGGGCTGCAGCGGGATAGTTTTCAGAGAAGAACGCTTTGGGAATGTTTCTGCAGCTTCCCAGGAGCAACGGGTTTGGGAAAAACAAACCTGAGCACCCCGCTGTGTCCGGGGAGCAGCACAGCCACCTTGCGGAGGAGATGAGAGCAAATGGGTTTACTCCTGGCTCGCGGCTTCTTTTTATTATTATTTTTATTATTTTTTTTCTCCCCCTTTGCATTTCTCTTTTAATTTCTTAGAAGCTCTGGGCCTGCTTCCTTTTCTTGTTTATGGCTCTGTCTGTGGAGCAGAAGTCAGCCTGAACAGATTTAGAACAAGAGAAAACCCTGAGGAGATTAGTCTTAAACTAGAAAAAACTGTGGCAATAAATGTGGGAAATGACTGTCATGTATGCTGTGTGATCAGTTGTGCTGGGCTGATTGTCCAGAAATGACAGGCTGGGAAACACATCCCCGTGTTTCAGCAAGTTCCCAGCACTTAACATTTTAATGTTGCTCTGCGTCAAAATATGTCTTCTCTGGTTTGTTTTTTGTCATTTTTTTTTTTAGCTGGCAATTAGATGGTCAGGTTTTAAACAGAACAACATGTTTTTGGCAGAAAGGACATCATAACAACCCAGGGAACTCGTAAAAAAAAGTTGGAGACGGTGGTGCTGCTGAACAGCTGCTGTATTTCACTCCAGAAGAGGCTGTTTGCAGTGACTGCAGTCCCACTATAGGTGCTTACATTTCTAACATGTTTTCAGCGTTCCTAGAGATGAAAGTGTGTTATGGAAACAGCATCATTAGTTTTCATGGCCTTCACAGCCCCGGCTTTTTTTGGTTTTGTTTTCTAATCTTCTGTTTTTGGCCGTGTCTTCAGGCAAAGTAAGGATAAAAGTATTTTGGTTGTTAGCCTGGCCTTTAGGAAAAAAATATAGCCAGGGCCCGATCTTGCATTCCAGGCATTCTCCAAAATCTTCTTGGCTGTTCTGCAAGTTTTGAGAGCGCACAGAAAGCAGAACTGGCCCGTAATGTGCCTGGATCTATTTGGCTCTGACAGTCCTCTCTTAAAAAGCCTCTGGTTACATCGAGTGATATTGTTCCTTGTCAAAAGAGATGGAAAACAAGCCTGCTGGCTGTTTTCTGCTGAGGTAACCGGCCCACAGCAATTGCTAGGGGTTTATTATTGGTTTTTTCCCTCCCTCATTTAAGTCCTAATTCAAATTGCAGTTTAGTTCTATTCCCAGGGAAATATATTGATATTTTGATAGTGGCTTCCCAGCTCTTGCAAGCATTTAAAGAAATCTTGAACATTTTAAGTTGTTTTTTTTTTAAAAGAAGTTCACCAAGTGCTTTTGGTGCACGCAGAGCATGCCAGCTTTTCTTAGAAAAGCACATGTTGCAGTCCAGATTTCCCTCACAGCCCTATTCTTCAGAAGTTAGGCTGGAATAATACAGACGTTAGAGGAAGAATCAGAAACCATCTGAGGGCAAGCCTTCCTTTCTGCCCTGTGTTTCTCAAGGCAGTCACCAGTTTTTGGTGCAAGACAGAAACAATCAGCTTGCATGAATTCTTACCAGATGCCAATACCAATTTGTCAGAAGCAGATGGTGCTTTCTGTTTCAAAACTGGAATAACTCTGCTATGGGACTTCTGCTGGGGGAGCTTTCCAGCAATATAGAGAGTAAAAAAAAAAAAGTTTGTTAGAAATAGTTCAGTTCTTCTGACTCTCTGCTTTTACTATAGGACGTGATTATAGGCTAAGGTCACAAAACAGAGCCACTAACCTCTGTTTGAACTTCCTTGTGTTCAGCACATGTAGTAGCACATTATTGGTTCAGAGGCACAGCTGTCTGACGGGACACAGACCAGGAAAATGTGCAATCTTACTTTTAGTCTTTATTTCAACCTGTCACTGTTTCCTCCATGTGTCTGCGAAGGAGGAAGACAAGTCTTTAAGAAATGTGGCTTCCCCCCACTCCTTCCTGGGAAATATTAATGGATGTTGCCAACGGGACAGAGCTCTTTAAGGGTGTTGTGTAAAATACCTCGCCTTGTGTTCACTGTAGCACTGAGCATACAAACACCTTTTGATTTTTCTCCAGAAAAGGAAAGACAGGGCAAATTTTGGAGATTTTGGAGGCAGCAAAGATGCTCTGCAACAGCAGTAACAACCATCCCCTCGTCTGCACAAAACTGGGAGCTAT